ACAGAATGATTATTATAATGAAAAGAAAGAATCTGTGATATCGACACTTTCAGAAATTATAGTATACCTTTTTTTGTACAATAAAGACACCTCAGATCTTTATGGTTAAATCATTGATGGAAACCGGAAATGAGAGAAATCGATGTTCTTGTGAATATTTAAATGTTTATATTAATTTGTTGCTTGAGGTATTGACTTTGGTTATATGGCGGACTGGAAGCAAAAAATATAAAGCCAAATTCTCAATTTTAAATAATGAAAGATTTTTTTTAAACAATTCATTGCGTTTGACATAACATTCAATCTAACGATGATAAGATTTAGTATCATCGTTTTACTCTAAAGAAAACGGAAAGCTATAATGAATGATTTATTCGGAAAAAGAAAAGGGAAATGTAATATAGTTATAATTAAAATCTCAGACACACACACACAAATGCTCAAAGAGAGAAAGAGAGATACAAATCGCAAATGTTTGTATATTCAGAAAAAAAGAAGACATAGAAGGAAGCATTTAAGGATGATGGATGGACTTGAGGTCGTTCAAAGGAAATAAGAATTGTTTGAGATTGAAATGAGAAGCAAGTTAATCCTTACTTGAAAATTTTTCTCGAGTTGGGAATTTTTTTCTAATTCTGGGTGGCGATGCTACTCATATTTGAAAGGGCGAAGAAAGGCATTTGTGAGTGACTCACTAGTGCCAATTTTTGACACATATCTCGTTAGAAAATCTAAACCCCAACGCTTCGAAGAGTACTAGCATCTCCAGATCGGTTGGCATTCGGACAGGCAGACAGAATGGCGGACATCTTGTTCGACGCGCGTACATTCCCTTGTGATTGTAAATTAGAACAGACATTAACATTCTCGCTTACACTTATAGGCAAAGTCAGACAACATTTCTATCTATCTATCTATCTATCTATCTATCTATCTATCTATCTATCTATCTATCTATCTATCACATTCTGTTCAGGCTTATCTATCTATCTATCTATCTATCTATCTATCTATCTATCTATTCTGTTCAGGTATATCTATCCATCATATTTTGTTCAGATCTATCTATCTATCTATCTATCTATCTATCTATCTATCTATCTATCTATCTATCTATGTCATTCTGTTCAGATTTATCTATCTATCTCTCTATCTATCTATCTATCTATCTATCTATCTATCTATCTATGTCATTCTGTTCAGATCTATCTATCTATCTATCTATCTATCTATCTATCTATCTATCTATCCGAGAATATGTTGAAAATCAAGCTATTGGAAGCTACTTCCGCAAGACATAAAAAAGAATAGGGAGGAGAGAGAGTATAAGGATACAAGAAAATGATGAAAAGGAGAAATAACTACGGCATGCACACACACACACATATATATATATGCACACGGGCATACAAACACGCACAAAAAGAGGAAAAAAAATCAACCGAACACCGATAATCAGAGCTTCAAACTAGCGCATAAACTAATTACATCAAACTAGATATAAAAAATAACGGAAAATGAGAAAAAAACGACAGTCAGTTGTTGAAAACCTCCTGAAGAGTGGGCTGAGATAAAAGATTGTCTACGAAAGTATAGTGTCGGGGTGCTGAATATAACATCAATCAGCTAAGTGACAAATTTTACTGGTGTTATATATATATATATATATATATATATATATATATATATTTCTACAACGACATCATTATTTGAATAGAAGACGCCATTTTTGTAAACAGAGTGTATTTCGTCTACTGACTTACGTACTCTAGAAAATTAAAAAAAAGGTGCTCTCCGGCAGGATGCGAAACTGCGATCTTCTTTATCTGATCCGATGTACTTTAACCCACTTGGCTACGAAGAGTCTCACAGCCAAGCAAAGTTCGATTTGTCTTAATGCACATCTCGTTCTGATTTTTCTCGAATGTCTTGAACAGAGAAAATATCCGAAACAAAATTTCCAGAAAACTCCGAACCGTAAACAGTTCAATAACTAAATTTTTAATCCAACATATTTCATTATTTTAAAAGTTACTTTTTGTGAATATACGGGTACCTTTTTTCTTTCTTTTTTTTTTTTTTCATCTACCGGCCTACGCACAATTAATAAAGAAAACGTGTCTTCTGGCAGGATTAGAACTTGGGCACATTTTCACATTATTTAAAAAGGGGCGTTCAATGCAAGTACGGATATCCACTAAAATATCTTTTAATATAAATATAAATATATAATTATAATATAAATATCTTTTAATATAATAAAAAATATATCAGATTAAATATTTTAAAAAATCCATTAATTTACATTTTTTTACTGTTTTTCTGTTAACAGTATGAATTCCATTTATTGACATGCGCATTCGATACATATAATAAAGAAAATGGCAAGATCAGGAATTGCGTTCTCTTTTTATAAGGGAAACCCCCGTCTGATACTGTGTGCTTTTCACCACTCAGCCATAGAGGGAACCACAACCCAGCAATGTTCAAATATCCTATTTAAAAAACGAACATCTTCTCAGTCAGATTTTCTTGAAAGCCAGTAGGTATAAATTACACTGTTTACAGAAAAGGAAAACTGGGCCTCTATTCAAATATGTGTATCCACTGAAAAAGATTTTTGAGTTATATATATATATATATATATATATATATATATATATATATATATATATTGATAATATTAATGGTCAATATATATATATATATATATATATAAAAAAGAAAAAAGAGAGATGTTCCATGAAACGTTTTTGGTTGTAATGAGGATTTATTTAGAAAAAAATATTAGAAAAATTGTTTTACATAATTTTACAAACAGAGAAATGGTCTCGCGATATCTTCAGAGAATATCTCATATTATTAAAATGAAGAAAAATTAATTTTTTTCATGTTCCATATTATTTTCGATATAACATTCTCTGAAATCTCCAAAAAATTTTACCAAGACGGTCGCGAGACCAGAAACATTGAAATGTCGTAGTAAAATTATGTAAAACAAAGTATAATATTTTTTTTCTAAATAAATCCACATTACAACCAAAAAAGACGTTTGCGGCACCTCTCTTTTTTTAATATACATACTTTTCTCTCGTTGGAACCATATATTTCTTTTATATATATATATATATATATATATATATATATATATATATATATATATATATATATATATATATATATATATAGATAGATAGATAGATATAGATATATATATATATGTATATATTACAAGAGGATACACACACACACACACACACACACACACATACACACACACACACACACACACACATATATATATATAATACAAGTGGATAGAATCCAGGTAGAGCTCAATGTCCAGGACAGAGCAAGAATGTAATATAGAAGGTTCAAAGACTATTATTCCATGGTTATAATTTATTACATTGGAATCGTAATTACGATCCAATTCATCAGACGTACAAATTCAAAAAGACCCGGAATTATATTTTCCGGTTTCTTTTTGCATTAGTTTTTGAGCCTTTTTTATTTTATTACACACATGCACACACACACACACTCACACACAAATATATATATATATATATATATATATATATATATATATATATATATATATATATATTTGGTTGGATAGATGTGAGTTTGTGACTAGGTTTCACGCTTTAGCGATCGTCAGGTTTGTCTGACGATCGCTAAAGCGTGAAACCCAGTGTCACAAACTCACATCTATCCAACCAAATATGTTAGCTCTATCACTGTTATTGAGCGCTTTCTGGTAAGTACCATATATAATATATAAATAACTATATATATATATATATATATACTTATTTATAATTATATACACTTTTCACACACACACACACACACACACATATATATATATATATATATATATATATATATATATGTGTGTGTGTGTGTGTGTGTGAAAACTATATAGAAATTGGAAGGAACTGGTTAGGTAAATAATCCAAAGTCCCTTAGTATTTTAGTTATTATTTTTTTAAAAAATAGTGCTCGATACAAAAGTAGAGCATAAATATATAATAAATAATATATAATATATAATAAATAATATATAATAAATAAATAATTATATTTTAAATAAATAATTATATATATATATATATATATATATATATATATATATATATATATATATATATATATATATATATATATATATATATATATATATATATATGACAATGAGGCCAACACCGAGCGGCGACATATATGAATAATATATGTATAATAATAAAATAGTGTACACCGAGAGCGGGCCGGGGGTGCAAAAAATCTGTACTTCACCGTTTGGTGCAACTCTGAGTTTCATGCACGTGGAAGGTATTCAGGCATAAATCAAAAATTAATGATTGCCATTGAACACAGTGTTTTACCAAACGATAAGGTACAAATGTATATTTTTATTATTATTAGTAGCATAAATATCGATAGATAGATAGATATGACCAAACCGAGATTAGATATATATAGATATAAACATATTGAGATGGATATGTACAAATTGAGATAAATATGAATAAATTAAGATAGATAAATGTAAACAAATTGAGATAGATAGATAGATAGATAGATAGATAGATATGAATAAATTGATATATATACATATGCATATATATATATATATATATATATATACATAAACAAATTGACATAGATATGAACAAATTAAGATAGATAAATATGAACAAATCAAGATAGATAGATATTAACAAATTGATATATATATATATATATTTATATATATATATAGTTATAGATATATATAGATATAAACAAATTGAGATAGATACATATGAACAAAATAAGATAATATATAAATGTGAACAAATTGAGATAGACAGATATATAAATGTGAACAAATTGATATATATATATATATATATATATATATATATATATATATATATATATAGATAGATAGATAGATAGATAGATAGATATGTATATAGAGATATAAACAAATTGAAATAGATATGAACTAATTAAAATAGATAAATATGAACAAATTGAGACAGATAGATAGATAGATATAAGCAGTCTTGAGATAGATAGATAGATAGGTAGATAGATAATGAACAGTCTGCGATAGATAGATAGATCGCTACAGTCAATGCACATATGTCACATCACAAACAAGATACAATTATCAGCATATTACACAGATTATATTAAAATACTATACAGTATCTACTTCAAAGCAAATCTAAATTCTAGACGCCATTACTGTGCAAAAGGTGTAGATAGAACACACTGGAGAACGTATGTTAAACTATGTAAAAATATTCAAAATAACAATATGTATAAATATTTCTACATGCTTTTCCAATGATGTCTTGTTCACTTTAACTGTTACATATGGCATCACTTTAGACTGATTAATATCACAGCTCTGTGTAAAATACAGAATCTTGTCTAACACACAAAATATACCCAGTTCTTAATAATAACTGAAACAGTAGAAAGTAAAGTAAATTTAACAAAACTTGTTTGCATAAATTCTTGAGGGTTAGTGTGAAGGTGGCATAATTTTAGCGGTTCGGTAGAAAATTCAAGAACCGTGTTTGAATTCTGGTTTGTTTTGTAACATTTATTTTCGCACAAATACCTTTGGGAAAATATGAATACAAGGCTTTTCCCTCCAGCTATGGATTAAATAGTAATGAAGTCTGGGCTTTTCAACCTTGGTTGACAACCAGTCCGGGAGAAATAGATTAAGAGAGGAAAAAAGTGAACTTTTGATCCTGATGTATAATAGTTGATTCGAAAATTGAAAAAGTACTATAAAACGTAAACTTACATACCTTGTTAGATAAATCTAACAATGAATAAATTTACGAGAGAGAGAGAGAGAGAGAGAGAACGTGTGTGCGTGAGAGAGAGGGAGGGAGACGAAGAGAGAGAGAGAGAGGGGGGCAGAAAGTAAGATCCATATATATATATATATATATATATATATATATATATATATGAATACAGAATCCTTAAAAATCTATTTGGCTATCCAAATGGATTTTTAAGGATTCTGTATTCCTTATTATATTGCTCTGTTTTACATTGAGCTCTCTTTGGATTTATATACTCCTTTGAATTATCCTTATTAATTATTTGATGTGTATTTATTAATATATACTTCATAGCTCTGTATTACCAAATTGAGTACTGTTTTGTTAACACCAAAAATTAGATAAAATATTTATTTGCAAATTTACATATCCGCGTTATCACACGCAGCTATGATTGCTTGTATCTATATTTATTTAATTCACACACACACACACACACACACACACACACACACACACACACACACACACACATATATATATATATAAATTGTGTATATTTAGGCAGCAATTTTTCATTGATACATGTTTCATTAAATAATAAAGACAAGTTTTGTCTATTTTAAGTAAGTTCCTTTCATATTGTCTGATAAACTTAATAACATTATCATTATGCGTCTCATATACACGAGTTTGTTGTTGCTTTGAAATTTTTCATGCGACAAAAACAGACTATCATTATTGGTTGATATATTGAAAAGTAATTATCATCTTTGATAATGGCTTATGTAAATTGGATTTAAACATGTATCAATATGGTGATTTCCTTTCGTCTTTCAATGATAATGTTATTAAGCTTATCAGACAATATGAAAGGAACTTAAAATAAATAGACAAAACTTGTCTATATTATTTAATGAAACATGCATTAATATATATATATATGTGTGTGTGTGTGTGTGTGTGTGTGTAAACGTTCCTGTGTAAAATATATACTTTCTAAATGTAAACAGCCGCATAGAGCGTACAAGTCTTGTTTTAACACATATACATACACAAACATATTCACATAAGTTTTCGGTTGTGTGCGAGATAACCTTTTTTTTAAATTAAGAAGAGAACGAAAAAAAAAATGATGCAAGACAGACACATTTCCGAAAGTAAAAAAAAAAGAAGCTATTTTTTCTATTAGAGAACTGACATAAAGATGTCTCAAGACATAACACTATCAGCAATGCTTCAGCAAATTGGTATTGTTTTTCATTCTTGGCGTGTTTTGAAAGTCACCAAAACAAAACCTTTTTTAAATGTCAGATCCCTTCGGGACGGAGGCGATCATGAGTCTCCACTGAACCTTTCCCGTTATTATTTGTGAATTATCAAAAACTACTGGTTTGGAATGTTCAGTGAATTTAGAACCTAGGATAACCCTTTCAGTTTAAGTGTCTGCGTCTGTCAGTGAGTGTGTGTGTGTGTGTGCGTGTGCGTGTGTGTGCGTGTGCGTGCGTGTGTGTGTGTGCGTGTGTGTGCGTGCGTGTGTGTGTGTGTGCGCATGTGTGCATGTGTGTGCGTGTGTGTGCATGTGCATGTGTGTGCATGTGTGTGCGTGTGTGTGCATGTGCGTGTGTGTGTGCATGTGTGTGCATGTGCGTGTGTGTGTGCGCGTGTGTACATGTGTGTGCGTGTATGTGCATGTGCGTGTGTGTGTGTGTGTCTCTGTGTGTGTGTGTGCGTGCGTATGTTTGCATATATGAGCGAATAGTGAGCGAACGTGTATATGTGTGTATTCGTGCGTGTGTGTAAGTGTGTTTGTATGTGTAAGGAAATGTGAGTGAGTGAGTGAGTATGCGAGTGTGTGCACGTGCGTGAGTGTGTGTGCGTGTGTTTGTATATATCAGCGAATAGTAAATGAGTGTGTATATGTGTGTGTATGTGTGTGTGTTTGCATATGTGAGCGAGATAGTGAGTTGAGTATGTGCGTGAGCGTGTGTGCGTGTGTTCGCATATATGGGTAAATATTGAGTGAGTGTCTATATGTGTGTGCGTCTGTGTCTGCGTGTGTGTGTTTGCATATGTGAACGAGATAATGAGTGACTGTTTATGTGTGTGTGCTGAGTGTGTGTGTATGTGTGTATATTTGCATATTTGAGCGGGATAGTGAGTGCATGGGTACGTGAGTGTATATGTGTGCATGAGAGTGTGTGTGCGTGCGTGTATGTATGTATGTATGCACGAGTGTGTCCGTGTATGTTTCCATGTGTGTGTGTGTGTGTGTGTGTGTGTGAGTGTCTATGCTTGCATATGTGTGCCCGTGTATTTGCATGTATGAGCGAGATAGCGAGTGAGTGGTTACGTGGGTGCGTGCGTGTGTGTGTTATATATATATAAAAGGAATAACATTAAGATATATAATCCGGTGTTCTTATTGATATATTTTATTCTTATTTTTACAAAACAGATGCTCAATGTAAATTTACAGAGAATAAATATTATAAATTAACTGATTTGAAATATGTTTTTTCCGCTACACAGCAATAACCATGTTTCAAAAATGGAAGTTAAAACTTCAAATTTAATTTTGTAATAAAATTAAAAGCATTAAATGAACACGCTACCGCCACTTGTCTGAATGATTGGATTTCTCTGTATCCATGGAAACAGGGAATTATGAATTTCATGTGTGCGTTTAAATCTCAGTAAATTTAAAGATAAGTTATTCCAATATTCGCTTCAGAATGAAATGGAGCTAATGCTTTTAATTTAATTACAAAATTAAATTTGAAGTTTTTAACTTCCATTTTTGAAACATGGTTATTAATGTGTCGCGGAAAAAACATTTTAAATCAGTTAATTTTTAATATATATATATATATATATATATATATATATGTGTGTGTGTGTGTGTGTGTGTATATATGTATGTGTATATATGTATATATATACAAATATATTTACATATCAAGATACATATCCATATGTATATCTACATATATACGCTTATATATATATATATATATATATATATATATATATATATATATATATATATATATATTGATAAAGAGATAAATAAACCACAACAGAATGGCATTTGTATACATCGTGTATATAATACCTTAAAATTTCCTTTTTTCTGCCGTGCGCCGATAGCTTAGGAGTAGAATCTTTTAAATGATGCTAAATTGGTCGGGTTTCGATCACGTCTTGAAGCAATCGGATGTCTAGCCACACTGATGAGCTGTGATACAGCGAAACAGGCTTGATGCATATATATATATATATATATATATATATATATATATATATATATATATATATATATATATATATATATATATACACACACACATGTAATCTGTTTAGAAATAATCTTGTATTTGATCATATGCGTATATATTATTCACCCATAGTAAATAGGATGTTGACAGACAACTCTTTCATTAGAATCTGTCTAATATATAATATTCGTCTTTTAATGTGCTATAAAAACGATAAGGTATAATTTATTATTAAAAATGTGACATTAATTTTTGGTGAAATGTCTTATAGTTTATGGTCAAAGAACTAAAGTTATTTACTTATATGCAAGCACGATATCCAATATAAGGATGATCAAACGGTTATGCCAGATTGTTACGTGTCATTACATCTTCTAGCTTCATAAATTCAAAATAAAGTACTGGGAGCTTTTTAGAATTCCCATTAAGTGTTTCAACTCTTCAACGTATACGCGATATGCGTTTCCGAGCAA